CCACACGTGTGCAGGCCGCCCATCCAACCCTGACACAAACCAGAGTAGACTCGTACACGTGCCAACAACACATGTGTTGGTATGAAAAAAGGCCGCTGATTGGTCCCTTGCAATCGGCTAAATAAATAATCGTTCACGATGCAGGTGCAATGGATGGTTTACGGGAATAGATGAAGTTCGTTCTGGGAGAAAAATGAGCGAAGCCACGTCTGCGGCAGCTGTTCACCCTGGAAGCGACCTCGTTGAATCCCAGCTCGTTGATTTAAGTGCTTGTTGAATCCGGGTTATTTTGATTGATTTAAAGAAGAAAAAAATTGAATCCCAGTTCTTGTTGAATCCGAGCTTGTTGAATCTGAGTTCCACTGTATATCAAATACATTTAGTGGCTAATTCATCTCACTTAAAATCAATAAAACCATCTAAATTTTTTTTTTTTTATCAAACAACAAAAAAAGCCAGTTGGAAGATATCAAATCCAGTCTGTGTATTTTTCTGTTTTGTTGTTTAAAAAAATTATTTTAGATTATTTTATTGCATAGAACAACATACAACGTGACAGAAGAAAGACGCCGAGATAGACAGATGGAAAGGAAAAGAAAAAGAAGAAAGATCTGCCACAGGTGTTCTTCAGCTCAAAACGACACAGCAACGGCCAGCAAATTGTTGCAAACATAACATTTTATTCAGCGATCTGAATTCCCGTCAGTAAATGATCATTGCTCTAGTAGGAACTTGAAGTAACAGTGTTAAAGCATCATACGCACAATCCAGCACACACATAGCAAACAGGCATAGATTATTTGTAGCAAAACATGCACTTGGTCAACAGATTTTCAGGTCCACATTTTTTTCGTATAATATATGTATATTCTTTGTAATTAAAACTACTAAAAAAGTGAGAAATTCCCACATAAGGAAAAGATTCCCACAAGCCACTGGTCCCAGTCCGTGAGTGTGCTAGGCTGTGGTTGTAAAGCAATGAAGGATCCCCTGGTGGTCTAAATACACGAGTGGAAAGCCTCTATGACCGTGTGCACAGCAGAATCTAGATAAACCCGTTAACTTTATAATTCAGTTAGAATGATAGCTTTTGCAACGGGTAATTTTAACAAAAACTGAGATGAGACAAAACACTCACATTTTCAGGGACATCTTTAACCATGAGTAGGCTAACCCGCTAAAGGTAATGACGTATTGATGGCTACCCCGCTAAAGGAAATGACGTATTGATGGCTACCCCGCTAAAGGAAATGACGTATTGATGGCTACCCCGCTAAAGGAAATGATGTATTGATGGCTACCCCGCTAAAGGAAATGACGTATTGATGGCACGGTGCAGGACTTTGACAACTAAGCCAACATTTTCCCAAAGGCCTTCGTCAGAGTCTTGCAGCCAGCCATCAGTGCTAGACACAACCGCCTCACAAACCACGCTTCTTTTAGTCGGCAGCCAACCCTCCCCCCCCCCATCCTCAATAAAATGAAAGCAACCTGTTGGTCTGGCCTCTGACCCACGTGTGGGAACCACTCAAGTTCTGGGAGACAACTCATTTTTGACTCAACTTCTGAGAGTTCACCAATTTTTCAGTGAAATTCTGAAAATTCACAGATATTTCACACTGAAGTCCTGCCAGTTCACAGATTTTTCACACTCTTTTCTCAAAAGACAAAACTTCCTGCAAGGCACTTGGGACCCCTCTATAATCATTTCCACTTGCCCTCACTACCTTTGCCGGCCACCAGCAGAAACACGGAGAGTTGTGGCAGAAACACGGAGCGTGGCGTCGAGGGAGGAACACTTTGCCCGACATGACATTCCCATCATCGACATGTGCTGGATTTTGTGACTCTGTCACCCCGGCCAGTGATGTCCTGTCACCCCGGCCAGTGATGTCCTGTCACCTTGGCCAGTGATGTCCTGTCCACCCAGCCACCTGTCCACCCGGCCCATGATGTTCTGTCACCCCGGCCAGTGATGTCCTGTCACCCCGGCCAGTGATCTCCTGTCACCCCGGCCAGTGATCTCCTGTCACCCCGGCCAGTGATCTCCTCTCCAACCAACAAAACAAACGGAGAAGAAAATACACAGACCAGGGGGAAAATGCTTCTCTTTGGGAGGTGAAAATGTATCTACTTCAAAATACAACTAAAGAAAAATGAACAAATGACCCGTCCAATAGCGTTGTTCTTGAGGAATGTTGAAGAAAGTATTGCATGAAGAACAGATGATGGACTGAGAGGAAGAGTACAAGGAATGGGAATCTACAGTGATGTTTAAAGGTTGGCTAATAGAATATTTCACTGTAAGAGGAATTCAATCTTCATAATCAAAGAACAAATTTTGAAATAGCATATATA